TATAATCTAATCAAATCCTAAAAAATTCTAACTAAATTCTAAATACATCTTAATTGAATCCTAAAAAAAAATATTATCAATATTTTAATTAGATTTTAAGAAATTTTAATTAATTTAATTAAATCCTAATTAATATAATAACTAAATTTTAATTAAATTTCAAAGAAATCTTAATCAAATTTTAAATCAAATAAATTACAAATACCTATATTAGCATTAATAATTAAGAAAATAAGAAGAATTTGATAGAATTACATAAACATATATTAATCTAATAATATCTAAGTGAGTAGCTTATTTGAAGCTTTATAAATGTAGATTTAACTTTACAAGTATTTGTAGGTGATTTGTTGGTTAAAAACTTGACCAAAAAATTGGCTGCATATTATACATGTTGACCATCTCTTTTATAAGTTCACTATATGTCGCACATATTGGCTACTTGTGGTACAAATTGACCATGTAGCATGCATGCTAAAAACTTGTATTATAAGTTAGATACATATTAAATAACTTATAGAATGTTGCTACATAGCTCCTTTTTTAAATATTATATATATAAGTATAAATAATACTATTATTTCACTCTTATTAATATCTTTTATTTTTATTTTTAGTCAAGTTTTAAGAATCTCCAATCTTTTTATCTTTGATAATAATCATTTAGATTTCTTATAGAATATATCTATTTATATATATATATATATATATATATATATATATATACACATATTTTTTAATATATATTTTTAATTTTATTTATTTATCTTCCATTAATTTTTTTCTTGATAGATAGATAGACAAAAATAAAATTATAATATCAAATCTTTGTATTTTTGATTAAGAAAAAATTTATTTATTTATTTGTTTTAATAATAAGACATAAGTATATTAGAAGTTGTAGGATCTTTACATCTAACTTAATATTATTTATAGAATTTTATTTATTCTTGATTATTTTCTTTGACTTTTTAAAAATAAAAATAATTTATTTATTTATTTTATTTTTTATAATTATTTTATGGTTGAGCTTGTTGAAATGAAGAGGGTAAGGTTTTTTAGGTTTGTATACAAGGGTCTTCAATTGAATTATTAAGTAAAAGAATTATGATAAAATCTTTAAGATACACAACCCTATACAAGGCTAATAAGAATTTGCATATAAATATTCTATCTATGGAAACAATGCATAGCCTTATGTGGGACTATATATCAATTTTTAATAAAAATTGAATAATGCACAATATAATATAGAGTTGTGTATTCACACAAATATTTCAAAAGACCTTTTAGTTTTAGCAAATCTTTATTCTATAATGACAACAATTTAATTTATTAATTTTATAATCACAATGCATAAACTTGCAAAGTGCTATGCATCAATTCTAGAATCAATTTTGAATCAATCCATAGTTTTGTGCAAGGTTTTAAGTTGACCGAAAAATCAAAAATTTATTATTTAATAAAGCCTTTGTATTGATGTGAATTGATTTGAAAATTAATAATAAAAAATACATAATTTCACAAGCAGCTCTAAGTTGATTGAAAAATGAATAATAACAGACACTTAAACATGCACAAGGTTGTGCATCAATTTAAAAATCAATAAAATTCAATGTACAACCTTACATAAGAATGTTTATTGGTTGAATAATTATAGAAGAAGAAAAATCCTTTATTTTATAAGAAACTCAATCTATTGTTTTTTCTTTTGACTACATTTTAGAAGTAGGAGTTTACTCTTAGTGCATGAAATCTATTACTTATACTTCTACTTATGATTCTATTGGTCATGTTGGTTAATAAGAAGTTATAAGTGAAGAATTTTTCTTCTCAAGTTCAATGAGGCATAAGTGATGTATGAAATTTAAACATCTATTTTTAAGAGATTATTAACAAAGTGGTTTGGAGAAGCTTTAGATATTATTTATTTTGCCTTGCTCGGGTGGATTTGAGTGAAAATCAACATAGATAGCATCAAGTCCATGAGTGACTCTTTAAATGATTTTTAAAATCTTTTTTTAGCAATGAGATGACAAGGTTTCAAGCAGCTAAAAAACAAGTTAAAAAAAAATAGAATGAATTTTTTTTCTGACTATTGCAAATAAGAAATCTACAAGGCACTTAATTTCTTAGTAGTGAAGCTATATAGATTTGTCAAGAATATAAAAGAATTTATAAATATATATAACAAAAAAAAATTTAATTTATTAATTATAGTTGTATAAGGTCAGCAAATGGATGGAAAGCAATAATAGTATTGATGGAGATGAATAAATTGTTTTCAATCTTAATTATAAATCTCATATGCAACATGTTTGAGAATTCTTCTATAAACAATACAAAATCTTACAAAAGGCTATGTCTTCAACAATTCAATTATAAATGTGTCTTTTTCCAATCTTTCTAAATTACAATAGCACCTTGTTGTGGTCCAATCTTAAACTTATTGGTGTTGGTGCAAACACCACCATCACCATTTAAGCACCAACACTATAATTGCTTGTATCACCACAATGGCTTGTTCTTTAGCACCAACAATTTGTTTTTATTCAACATCCATGATAGGAATTGGCTTCTTTCTAATGTCTTCTCTACATAAATTTTAAGTGTTTTTAGATTTGTCTATAGTTTCATTTTTTCATTTCTCTTTTTTGTATACAAATTTTTAGAGTTTTATAAAAAAATTTATATTTATTTTCATTCTCTTTAACAATTTTTTGTGTTATGATTTTTATTTTAATAATATTTTATTTTTATTTTTTATAAAATATTATTATTTTCATTATTATTATTATTATTTTTTTTAAATAATATATTTCATTAATTAGTAAATGTATATAATTAATTATGATTAGATATTATTTTTATATGTAAAAATAAAAGTTTTTTTATTTTATTTTATTTTATTTTTTATTTTTTATTTCTACTTTTGCTCATTACATCATGGATAGATGCAAAGGTTTTTTGAGTGTCTTCTGTTAGGTTCAATCAGTTAAAATAACTAGATATTTATCAAAACATCTCTAAGATTCTCAAATGCATCTTTTATTTTGGCAGTTTCGACTGCTTGTATATCTTGGAAATAATTGGATAGTTTTTTAGCTAATAAGGTTATAGAAATCAAATCCTATTTTTTTTTAGTCAATTGAAGATTCTATTAAAGAGAGTCAAATATATTTTGTCTTCAAAAAAAGAAAAACTTTTTTAGTACAAACATGGACTATTATTATTATTATTATTATTATTCAAAATTTTTTAATATTATATTTTGAAATATATTTTGAATTTTTATTAAATATTATGTTTAGTTTTTTGTATAAATATTCTTATATATATGGACTAGAAGATCATCAATACAATCTTAAGCCTAAGAAAGAAGTTACCTTGCTAAGTTTGCTATTTCTCAACTAACATTATATCCACACATTGGAAATGTCATTTTTTAACATAGTAGTTATACTAGAAAAAATGTTATAGTGTGAACTATGTGTAATATAACAATTTTTTCTAGTGTAACTAGAAAAAAATGTTATACTACACACACTTCAAACATTTCTTCCAAATTAAAAATTTGATAGTTTTCTTTTTTATAAAAAGAACTTAATTCTGAACAAGCATATTAAGAACACATGTGTGTGTAACTGAATGTTTGAATTAAAAGAAAAAAAAAGATGATTCTTTGTGTCTTTTTTAATTCATGTATAATACAAAATAAACATAAAAATGATTTATTAAGTCAAAATTATGAAAATTAAAAAAATAAGAATATATTATTTTTCTATTAAAAATATGATATTACCAAAAATATTTAATTTATCAATACTTTTAAAACTTATTAGCAAAGAGATTTTATTTATAAACAAAGTAAGAATTCTTATATTTCTATAAAATATACATTTAGAAAAAACAAGCTTATGTGCCTTTTATTTATTTTACTCATACAATTATATTCCAATTTTTTGAATTATATCATCAAAACAAATAAATGAATAAATAAAAGATCCATGATTTTTTGATTGCTATAAAGTAATTTTCATTACTAAAATTCTTTTATAGACATCATCTTTATTTATTGTAAATATGCAATTCAAGAAAAATAAACCATTAAATAATTATTTTATTTAATATATTTTTTCAGTATATGTATATTTTTATCAATTTTGTAAGTGCATATATATATATATATATATATATATATATATATATATATATGTATATTTAACATTATAATTTTTATAAATTATTTTAATATGTTTGCAAATTAAAAATTTTAAAATATATTTTAAAAATATAGATGTGTATGGCCAAATGCACTAATGTATTTATGCACTTTTGATGTCATAAGAAATGAGAATAATCAAGTAAATAAAAAGTAAGTGATGAAATTTTATTATGTTGGAAATATTATCAAAAAACATAAAAATTAATATATACTAAAAATAAAATATTGAAGTACTATACATTTAATGAAGTCATAAAACATTACATTTTACTTTAAAATACTAAAAGAAATTCCAAAAAATAAAATCTTATTGTAAAGAAACTTTTAAACCAAGAACGTTAAATATTAATTTCGATTACAAAGACATTAACTCAGAACTAATCATTACTAAAAGTAAAAATTATTTATGTAAAAAATTAATATTTAAATTATTAAAATACATAAATAACATTTCCAGACTACAATGAACGTTTAGAATTTCTACAATTATAACAATTAACATGAAAAAGTCATAAAATGTACAAAACAGATATAAAAAATAACACACAGCCATAACATTCTACATAAATACAAATAATATAAATACATCTCACTGAGAAGATGCAAAACTTTTGACATTTTATAAAAGAAATAAGAGTCAATATCTAAAATCGTATCTATATATATATATATCTATATATATAAATGTCTCGAAACGACAAACATGGGAAGAGTGAGCAACAGAGCTCGATGATAAGCATCTTGGGGATCGACGCCGACGGTGGTGTAGATTAGTCCTCTCACAAGCGAAGGTGGTTTTGGTCTGATCACTCAGAATCGTGGATGCGTCCCTGGTAACGAACTGCCCAGCAAGCAATCTGGTCTCACTGCTCGCTCCGCACAGTCAGTCAATCATTCACAAATCCAGAGAGTGCCGAGGGAATTTGCGATGCTGAAGGACACCCTGAGGCAATGGACCCTGGCATAGACGGTGGAGATGGCCCACGGAGGAACCTCTTTGTGAAGCTTCGTGCATTCGGGCGGATCTCATTCCTACTTCGCTGGCTGAACCGTCTTGACCCGTCGAACTCGAGTCTCGCTCCGCAATTCTCTGAAAATCAGCACGACACACCCACATTCTCAACCTGCTCGCTCATCTGCTGCTCACCAGGATGGAGCCTTTGAGACCAGGATCCAGTCTTGCGGGGTCGTTTCTCGCGTCGGTTCCGAAGGGCACTGAACACGACCTCTCTTCGACCGCTTAAACCCGATCCGGCTGTCCGGCTTATTCAATCACGCTTCACCCACTCGTTACCCATTGTGCGCAATTCAGCCTTCGTTTTTTTTTTTTTTTTTTTTTTTTTTTTCTCTGCACCGCTGTCAATCCGTTCTGCAAGGTGCGTATCACGTCCTCCGCCTGTTTCCTCTGCGTGATCTTTTGCAGGGCCTGGTGTATCGGTCTCTGGACCTCTGGTGGCCCAGGTCATAGCTAGCCGAGGCTGTTGGTTGCTGTTCCAGATTCGGCACGTAACATGCATGCTCTCCTTGTTCCGCTCGGTAGATATGCTTGCACTTGGAGTGCTCCAAGTTGCGTAACTCGTCCTCTACTTGGGAAAAGTGCTTGAGGCTTTCGCCGTGCAACCCATGGAGACGCCTGACTGATGATGATGATACGGCTTGCAGGAAAGTCGGAGATGCACACCTATCGTTCCGCCATGGTTATGATTGTGTACGGGGACATCGGTCTCAATCCCTACCGGCCAATCCAGCCACTTTTCGAAGCTCAGGTGAGAGGATCAGACGCTGGCTGTGATTTGGTGATCTCTCCACACCGGATGCACCGGCTCGACAAGTCCAGGAGAGAGCAAAGTGAAGTGCAATGCGTCTTGTGCGTGTGTCCAGCTTCGAAAGGAACAACCTTGACCTGCAGAATTGCTCGGAATCTGCTGTAGTTGATTGTCGATCCTGTGGATCCTGTTGATCTGATGGACCGTGATGGTGGGCATTGTTGAAGGTGGATGTCGAAATTGGTGACGGTGAGCTTGAAGGCTGGCCACTTCCTTCTTCCCAGCTACAAGGCGAAACAGGTAAGCAAAACGTTCCTGGGCTGGACTGCCAGCTGAGGCAGTAGAAATTGGGGTGTGGATTCAAAGACGCTCGTGGTGGTTGCAAACATCTGGTTGTTCGATTTTCGGTACTGGCGATGACACAAAACTGACCCTTGAAAGTGTGTGTGTGCACGTGTGTTGTGGCTGTAGCCCTTCGGATTGATCCCATGCTTGGAGGATGCCGACTTAACAGTTTTCGGTAAGCCAACTTCAATTCAACTGCTTTGTTTGGGAGGCATTCCATAGTTGCTGCCCAGCATGCAATGCCAGCGGGATGGGTTGCTTGTGTGCGTGGTCTTGTGCGGAAGTGTGGACCGTTGCTGATATGTGGACCGTCGGTGGGAATTGTAGAGTCTCGAGCCATAGCCAGATACCTAGCTGAGAAGTACGAGGGCCAAGGTACGCCGCTTCTGGGCAAGACGCTGAAGGAGAGAGCGATCATCAACCAGTGGGCGGATAGTGAGGCCCAGAACTTCCAGCCTGCTACAGGACCCATGGTGCGAGAAGCATTCGTAGCAGCGTTCGGAATACGGCCAGTGGACGAGGAGGTGGTGGCGGCGGGGATGAAGAAGCTGGACCAGGTATTGGACGTGTGCGAGGCGCATCTGGCGAAGGGCACCAAGTATCTGGCTGGGGACGACTTCTCCCTGGCCGACCTGTTTCACACCGTGTACATGAACTGGATGAAGTCGGCGAGGCCCGAGCTGCTGGAGAAGCGACCACACCTGTCGGCTTGGATCCACGACATCACCACTCGCCCTGCATTCCTTCGATGCTTGCAACTCGATTGGGAAAACGCCTCCCCGATTCAGTGACGCGTTGTCTCCGATGCACCGCTCCAGAGTCTCTGCGAGGATGCCCTCGAAAGAGCTTGGACGCCGCAGAAAGAAGTGGGTTGGAGTGGTTGGAGTATAGTGAAGCTCACGAACTTAATGTGGTCAGAGTATAAATTTAGATTAGGGTAATATTCATTCTAGTTGTTGTTGGCTTGGGAAAAACAAACAAAGTGCCGAAAATGGTCTTCCAGGCATCATCATCTGTTTGAGAATTAGGTGTAGTTTCATGGGGGCAACAATCTGGCATGTCGAAAGGTTACGTAAATGGTGAACAAGTCGTAAGGTTGTGAGAGCCGAATAAGTCGGTTCATATTTTTTGGATTTAATGAGTCAATTGTTGATCTATACTATGAACTTGATTGGAATTGAAGAGATTGAAGTAGATTTGTATGAACAATTTGAAAAGGTCACTATGTTGGTAACATATTAAACATTCAACAAAAATAAATTTAATCCATTTGAAACTTTTTTCATGTTTGTTAGAATACTCTGTAATATGATAAAAAAATAATTTGTTGAACACTGTCTACAATGTCATCCTTTGGTATTATAGCTGATAGATTCACGAAAGAAAAAAAAATCAATATTAAATTCAATATTTGATGTTTCTGAGCAACTTTCACGATGTATATTAATTTTTTTAATTTCAGTTTTATTACATTTTTTCTAAACCATAATAGTGACTTCTTTTTTGTTTTCAATATTCAGGTACCATAGATACAGCTAATGTCGTTGATACTTTCATGCTTATATTTTTTTGTTCCAATATTAAAACTTTGAAATAGTTATTGTAAAATCTCTTCATCATACATATAAAAATATTAAATACAATCATATTCAACTTATCCTATGTGTCCTTTTTATTCTTCATACACATGAAAATATTTGTTCACCTTAGTACTTCTATAGCTATTGGCAATTGCAACATGAAAGAGTTGAAAGGAGAGAAACAAGAAAACTCTTTTTCATTGATATACATATGCACCTGAGATTGACAAGATACTCCTTTATTGCTGACATTGCCTATAAACTTTGAAGTTTTATAACTTCACATAAAATATAAAACCTTGCATAATTTATAAAATCCCCATCTGCTAAGATTATAAATTAAGCAGAGTACATTTATACATATTTATAATGCTTAAATAAAAACCATACATATTATATATATATATATATATATATCTAAAATTTTCTTTGTTCTTTCATTGAGTTTGTTATTGTTGCTATAAAGGCAAATAAATTTTATTTGCCATCATGCACATTCATTGATGGCTTATGAAAAATAATAATAATAATAATGAAAACATACTTTAATTAGTTATTAAAAATAATATTTATCACTCATATATATGTTTTTATATCTTTTCTTCTTATAAAATATAATCAACAATATAGTCAATAAAAACTACAGTATTAAAAATAAAAAATATAACATATACACACATTTATACATTATGAATGATGCTTTTAGTTTTTAATTTTTCTTTCTTAGAAATTAAATAACAATGGTTTTCTTACTATGGTTTACGATGGTTTTTCATTATTTATTAGTGAGTTTTTTTTTTTTTTTTCAAAAAACCAATATTATTAAACATAATACACTTTTCCATGTCAATAGAACTACAGCAAGTGGACAATCAATCAAAATAAAAAGAAATGAGATAAACAAAGCAAGACAAAACCTTTTGAGAAGCTTTTAGATCAATCAAAATATCTTCATAATAATACCCAACTATATATCACCAGCACAAAGTTCGCAAGTCATAGTAGATAGAGAAGCATATTCATACTGGAGAGACAACAAGAAGGTGTTGAACAAGTTCTAAATTCAAATCAAAAACTTATAAAAAATCTCAATAAAAACCTCAATTGTGAGCCTATTTGTCCAATCTCATAGCCATATTAGAGAAGATCTATAAATTGCAACAATTTCTTGGCATCTAAAAATAATTATTAGAATTTTAATTGAATTTGAAATCGAAAGAAGAATTTCAATCTCATAAGCCAAGATCGTTTTATAAGGAATAAAGTCCTAAAAACGAACCAAAAAAATAACGTCTCCAAAGATTCCATTACCTTAAGATGGGATTGGATTTGCAACAACAAAATTTCATACCAAGATAACTTGTTTCCAACGTAATGGTATGAGCTACCTGTGATAAAAACACAACATCGCTCGTATACATCAAAAAAAGTGTTCTAAGTGTACTGAGTGCCAAATATAGGCAACCTCCCCAAAATATGCTACCCTAATCCTCTATACAATCCTGCACACAAAAAAGATGGAAATATTAAGCACCACCTGAATCTTAGATCCATATCACTAAACCTCAATAAAGAGAGCAACTCATCACATTGACTTATTATTCCAATAGTTGACATGATTCTAGAAATGAATGTCTCCATGCCTAGACAGTTCTTCAGATCAACAACAATGTTTAGTCTTGCATTGTTCCTTGCATTTGCATATACCTACTCCCATAGATTATTACATAGACTAGAAAATTTACAAGCTAATTATGTGGCATACATATAGAATACTTGCCTTGTAAGTTAAGATACATATCTTGCAAAGTCAATATGTTTTAGAGATCCTATAGGACATCGCCACATAGCTCTTAGTTAAGAATACATATTATCATGGATATATACCTACTTATTACCTAAGTATGTAGAATTAAGTAAAAGTAGATTAATTTCATAATATCTTCTAGAGAAGCCTCTTAGAAGTTTTTTAGATGCTGTTTTGACTTTATATATGTTTGTAGTTGATTGGTAGGTTAGAAACTTGGTCAACAAGATATCCATGTGCTATGTAAGTTGATAGCTTACAGAACAAGTTAACTATATAGCGACCATATAGAAAATTTACCTTGCAAGTCAAGATATATGTCATACAAAGTCAACATATTTTTGGAGGTCCTATAGAACATCACTATATAGATCCTAGATAAATAGTATATATAAAGGAAAGAGTAAAGCCTTCTTCACTCTTGTCAATTCTTTTCTTGCTTTTAGTCTAGATTTAAGAGTCTTTAATTCTTTTGTCTTTTAGGCAATAACTATTTCAGTTACCTTTTTATATACATATTACTTTATTTCTATTTTATTACTTTTCTTTTGATATAAATTTTTTAAGTTTATGCATCTTCTTCCATATCATGTCTTTAATAGATTGACAAGAATATACTTACAATATTAGAGCTTTTACTTTTTTTTGATTAAGAATGGATTACTGTTTTTTCTTGATAAGATATAAGTGTATTAGAAGTTGCAGATTATCCTCTTCTAACCTAATATTGTTTTTAATATCTTTATTATTCTCAAGTCCTTCCTTTTGCTTATCTATAGTAATATTAGATATATTTTTTTTAAGTTTCATCATGGCAAAGCTTCTTGAAATGAAGAGTGCAATAGCAAAAATACAAGAGTAATTGAGAAAGTTGATGCTTACGATGCATAAACTCAGTTTATTGTGACATGGAGCAACAAAAATAGAAGGAAGTAAAGATACAAGTATGATTAGAGCCACTTCAACATCTATATCAAATCATATCCCTTCTCTTATGGTAGAACATTTTTTTGGTACTAGAGAACTAAGAGTTGCCTTGTTTGAGAAGTTTGATGGCACAAGATCCAAGTTTCAAGGATTTATCAATGAAGTAAAACTTGTGATTAAACTTCAATTCTAAAGCTATCTAACTTCAAGATCACAAGTTAGATTCATTGGTACACTTCTTTTAGATTCAACATTATCATTATTTTCATCTTTTTTTAAATGACAAGATCCAATATTGGATAATTTAGAAGCTTATTTGATGGAGTTTTGATCTATGTATGGAAAACATGATGTAACTTGTATAACAACCAATAAGATCTATATTTTGTGATAAAGCAATCAATTTGTAATATTATATGCTTCATAATTTTGATAACTTGTAAGTGATATCAAGTAAGATGATGTACTTATTAACCAAATCTCTATGGATTACAATATGAAGTAAAGAAATTGATGCTCAACTTATCTGATCCTCAAACATTGAGTCAAGCGATTGACTTTGCTGTAAAGTGTGACAATTGACTTTTCAAATTTCGATTTGAGATCCAAATAAGTTGGCCTCAATATTACTATAATTCAATGGCAATACCAATACTTCCTCAACACATACATTTGGAAGTAGAGGATATGCAAATTGATGCAGTATGTTTGAAACTTCTTATTGAGCAAAAAAAGAGTTATTGCTATTAGAAAGGATTGTGTTTATATAATGGAGAATCTAAGCATACTATTCAACATTATCCAAAGAAGTGATAGAATTATAAAATGATGTGTAAAAATATCAAAGAAGTCAATATATCAAAAAACGAGTTAGTGTAGCTATTATAGGGACCATGCGGCTAGAACCTTATACAATATCTAATCAAGGTCCTATTCTCTCTTCAGAATCCTCTCTTTGTTTTATATTAAATAATATTTTAAGACCTAAATATGTCAAGGACAAGAAATCGATGAAAAAGCAATTCACACAAGTGAGCCTTCATTCAAAGAAAGGTAACAAAATAAATAAGTATGTATATTAAAAGAGAAACTAGAACGGCTATTGCTAAAAGACAAGAAAATTAGAGACCCTTGAAACTATATTAGAAGCAAGAAAGGAGTTGATAAGAGTGAAGAAGGCTTCATTCTTGTCTCTATATATACTATCTCACTAGGAGCTACGTAGCGACGTTCTATAGGACCTCCAATATGTGTTGACTTTGTAGGACACATGCCTTGACTTACAAGGCAAGTTTTTCTACGTGTGGGCCATATAGTTGGCTTAGTCTTCAAGCTAACAACATGTGTCGCAGATTGCCAACTTCTTGACCATGTTTCTAATCCAAAAAATCAATTAAAGATACCTATGAAGTCAAAGTAGCGTCTATAAAGCTTCTAGGAAGCTTTCATATTAAATACTTTAGAATTAACTTATTTTTATCTACTTTAACTTACTTCCACCTATTTGTATATGTAATTACTAGCTTACATGAGTATGCCCATGACATTATCCCTCCTTCTAGGGACGAATTTCACGAGGATCGGTCATTATATGTTGAGAAAATCTATGATGCAAAAAATTATATTCGCGACATACTTTGATCTTTGTTCTCTTTGAAGATGATTGATAGGGCCTCTCAACCATTGGTAGTGTCCTATACCAAGGCGGGAAGACCACCCAGTTATTTGATCATTGTTGAGGCCTTTATAACTTCCTTGAAATAAAATATTTGGAAAACCATCAATAGTTGTTTCTACCTCTAGCAAAATCACCAAACATCGGGAGTTCCTTCCCAAATCGTGATACCAAACGTATTATATCTCACCATCTATTTGAGGAAGAACATGTCATT